TACGTGTTTATGTCACAATTTATTTCTCAGTTACAAATCAAAAATCTTATAGGTCACAATTTATTTTTCGGCACAAAACAAAAATTTTATAGGTCACAATTTATTTCACAATCATAAATTATCAAATTAATTGGTTGCAATTTACCAAATTTTGAGTCACAATTACAAATTTAGTCGCAATCACGTATTTTTTTAGGTCACATATTATATACTAGTCACAAATTAATAACTTATTGGTCACATCACCAAAATAATTGGTTACAAACACTCTTCCCACCACCATCATGAGCACTACCCCTTCCAAAAGCACCATTACCTCATGATTTCACCACAGCACCCGTAACCCCAATACCGCCACGCCCACAACACACCACAACACATAGCACCACCCACGGCACACCACCATCTCCTTGATCTCCATTTACACCAGACCACAGTCACCACCCCATGAAAAAATTCACAAAATCGTCGCCACACCACCTCAAAGACCACAACAAAACATGCCAAAAAATCACCACAAAACCACTGCACAACGTCACAAAATCCCCCACAAAAACCTTCACAAGCGGCATTGTGATCCGTAGAAATCACCAAAGAAACCTCCATAAGCGGCGTTGTGATTTGTAACACCGGAGAAAAGTCTTGATCACCGCCGCGATCCACAACGTCGGAGAAAAGTTTAGATCCACAAGCAACGTTGTGACTAGGCAAACTATTAAGGCGCGATGATGCGCCTCAACTCCACTTTGCAGAGCTGGTTTTGCTTCGGAACGTCGCCCTTTAACTCCACAAGCAGTTCTATAACCATTCGATTCCGCATCCACTTAGGCGAAGCGGTAAAGCTGCGCATCCACAGAGGCGAAGAGCTACACATCCAATGAGATGAAGCAATGGCTACGCCTCCGATGCCGCGCCTCAACGCCAAAGTTGTTGTGTTAAAGGGAATAGCGGGGAAATTAGGGTTTGGGGTGAACGAGGGCTGGGTGGGTTGTGTGGATTAATTTAAGGGAAGATTATATATTCAAG